ACAGTTTTGCCTTGCGAACTGCTACGGTTACGTAAAGCCAATCACCAGCGTCATTCAATAAGTTGAAGTATCTGTATCTCCACATCTTGTTGAAGACTAATGTCCCACAAACTCCCCAAAATGCAACTATAAATCCAACTGCCGCACTAATGTAAAATCCTTTGGTTATGAACCCATCTTCTTCTTCGCCATCGTGGGCATCTTCAGTAGCTCCAGGAGAGATGGGTGGTTCTTCTTCACCTGGACATTTCTTTGGGAGTGGATCTCCACAAAGTTCAGGATTTCCCATGTATGCAGCAGCATCGCGTGTTTGGAGTTGAGTTCCTGTTGGAATTTTGCCTGACAAATTGTTGCTTGACAAGTCCAATGTATTGAGACGATCTACTTGAGAGAGACTCGAAGGAATTCGGCCGGAAAGGTGATTGTTTGACAAATCAAGAAGATCTAAAGATTTCAACCGACCAATCTCTTGCGGGATCTTTCCAGTCAGATTGTTTCTCGACAAGTTCAAAGAAATCAATCCAAGGAGCTTAGTGATTTCTCTTGGAATTTCACCTGACAACTTGTTACTGGACAAATCAATGTTCTTCAGAAGTCCCAAGCTTGTGAATTCCTGGAGTGCTCCTTTCCATACTAAAAATAATCTTTCGTCTTAGAATTGCAAAGGAACATCGAAACGAGTTGGGTCGTTGCCTTCGTAAGGCCAATAAATTGTTGAATCTTCGCTCCCAATTTCTTTCATTGCTGTAATATTGTCAAGACATTTGGGGACATTGATCGAGAGATCATTTGAAGACAAGTCCAAGAGTTGAAGGCGTACTAAGCGACACAGCTCTACAGGAATACTCCCATTGAAGTTATTGGATCGCAGGCTAAGAATGACAAGAGCTGCGAAACTCTTCCCAATCCACGCTGGTATCTGCCCTGACAATTTGTTTGCTTCTACGTCAAAAATAATCAACCATGTACAATTTTGTAAGGATGAAGGCAATCCCCCGGTCAAATTGTTGTTACCCAAATGCAAGGTCTGTAGTTTCCTTAACAAGCCAAGAGAGGCAGG